TATATACATACAATATATTGTATTATATAAGCTCGCCCAAGCTCTGGTCGTCCCCAAAGGCGCATTCGCAAATTTATCTAAATTATGTAAACCAAAACGGTACTGTATTTTCTCTAATTTGAATTAATATTATTATATACTGTATTAGAGTTCTGTGCATAGGTCGGCTTAGGTTATAGAAGTGTTTTCATTCTGTCGTCAATTGTTTGTATTTAGCCGAGTCCATTCCATCCAGCGGCCGACCCCACAGACGCATTCGTCAATTTTAACATTTTCATTCGAAATAACAATTTTCTCAGATATAAATTAATATTATAATATATTAGCATATTGTGCATATATAGGCATAGGTTAGGTTAGGCATTCAGGTTCTGTTGGCGATTATTTGTATTTGAAGTACGTGGGTGAAGCATTCATAGCAACCCGTCCGCAGACCAAGTCCGTTCCATCCAGCGGTCGACCCCACAGACGCATTCATAAATTTTAACATGCTGTTCATTAAAAAACATGAATTTTCTCAAATACAATTTAATATTATTATATATTAGGAAATTGTGCATATTTAGGCATTAGTTAGGTTAGGTGAGGTGTTTAGGTTCTGTTGGCGATTATTTGGTAATCCAGCCGCCAAACCCCCTGTTTATGAATGAAAAGCTGTTTACACACTACTCATAACTGATGCGTCCGAACACTTGTGGAACAAGTGCTTCGCTCACGTCCTTTGTTGAAACCACAATTCTATAAATCAGCCCGTACTCCAAATAAAGACCCGAAAGTGATTCTATGTACCCGCCAAACCCCCTGTTTATGAATGAAAAACGATTTACACACGACTCACAACTCATTTCGTTCGAACCCTTCCGGAACAAGTGCTTCACTGACGAATTTTGTTCGAACCACAACGCTGTAAATGCTTCACCCACGTACTACAAATACAAATAATAGCCAACAGAACCTATTGACAAGAACCTAACCTAACCTACGCCTAACTTTACATAAAATTTTTATGTATAATAATATTAATTTATATATGAGAACAAACAGATGTTTAATACACAGTATGTTAAAAATTGATGAATGCGTCTGGGGAGGACGGCGGCTGCTTTAACAAGCCTAGTGTGAGGACAGGTTAAATGTTTCAGAAGCATTGCAATACACCGAGATCAGACCTACCCCCCTGGTTCCTCCTTCTGTCACCTTGTGTTCGTGGAGTTTACAAGTAAGCTGAAATCGTTGTTTACTAGTAACCATCAGGTTTATGGTGTGCTCATACCATCTTCACCTCAACACCACCACAATAGTCCCATCTTTACTACTCTCAACACCACCACTGCCATGGCCTGTCTGTCCATCGCTGTTGATGATTGATAAAGATTAAGCCACGCAAAAGGTGGCACGGGCATGAATAGCCCGTAAGTGGTGACCCATTTGAGCCATTACCAGTATCAATAGATGATACTGGAGATCTGTGGAGGTGCGACTGCACCCTGTGTCTGTAAAACCATCGCTGTTGTTGTTGTTTCAGGTTTAACTCCTCGGAACAAAAGTTGCCAGTAGCACGGACTATGGTGAGCCCGTAGTGGACTTACCTGGTACAGGAGCAGGGCTGTAACTCAGGGTTGCCAGATCCAAATTGCTGAAAGTAGCGAACGGACGGTCTAAAAGTAGCGAATTTGCAAGAAGAGTAGCCCAATTTTTTGTTTGGTGACTGATATGGGTCACAATGTAATATATTTTGATATATAGAGTACATTACACGATTTTAATTGTTTTATTAATATTATCTCCGCAAATATATATTAAAAAATATGATAATAGGATAACATACCAATATTTCCTGTACATGAAGCATAATGGGTCCTTCCACGTCTTCACAGTTGTAGCTTATGAAAATCTTCGTCTGCATCTACAACATTGTTCTTGTATATTGCAGACTCATATTTAAACATCGACACGGGTGGTTCAAATGACGAGCAACAAGTTCCGTTTTCTTCAAGATATGTTTTGATTCTCAAGATTGATGACAAAAGCTCAAGTCTCATTCGATTTCTCAGTTAAGTTTTCACAAACGTAACTCTCGAAAATACCCGTTCAACCAGGGCATCACTGATTGATAAGATGTATACTTTCAATGCAGACTCGGCGAGGTCAATTAGTACGGGATCGCCAGCAGCGTTTTTGACAGTTATTGCTTTGGTTCAAAATGATGATCCAGATGTTGGAATTTGTCCCTCACAATAATTGGACTAGTCAGTGGTTAACAGTAGGCGCCACTGACTTTCAATTTCACTAAGCTTAGATTGGTCAGCTAATATTAATGGAAGTTCTGAAAATGGTGGCCGTGTGTGGCTATGGCATATGATAGCTGACAGATTTTTCACCTTTTTGAAAGTTTCAGCATTACTTAGAATACGAGAAAGAAGCAATTTGCAAGCTTTCACTAAAAAATAATGGCATCTTTCCTGAATATTTTGAAACTTTTCCTGGGTTATAAAATTGTTTTGTCTGTTAGTAGCCAGAAGTGTTGAAATTTCGTAACCAAGGTCCACTTTCTCCAGGAGCAGATATATGGAATTGTAGTCCAAATTATCATCAAGCTTTGCATGATGAGGATGCACGACTCTTCTGAGCATTCCAAGAGTGAAGTTTTCTAAGACAGTGTGAAGGCTACACTGATCTGCTTCATCTTTTTGATAAAGTAAATTCATCCTGGGATTCATGGGAGCCGGTTGGCCGAGCGGACAGCACGCTGGACTTGTGATCCTGTGGTCCTGGGTTCCATCCCAGGCGCCGGCGAGAAACAATGGGCAGAGTTTCTTTCACCCTATTCCCTTGTTACCTAGCAGTAAAATAGGTACCTGGGTGTTAGTCAGCTGTCACGGGCTGCTTCCCGGGGGTGGAGGCCTGGTCGAGGACCGGGCCGCGGGGACACTAAAGCCCCGAAATCATCTCAAGATAACCTCAAGATAACCTCAAGAATCCTCTCAAAATCATTTACGATTGGTTTGAGAAATGTGAAATATAGCTTATCGGGGGGATCAGAGTACATTGGAAATAATTGCTTTGCAACATACTTATCTCAAGAGGAAGACGTGAATTGGTAATGAGTTAAAGAATCCCACTGATCTAACAGCCGCTTTACACTACCGCTCCTTGCCAACCATCGTCTTCCTGACAAAGGTATTAACTGTAAGAAATCTTTACAATCATTTATCAATCTGTAAATTTCTAGATAATCTTTCCCTCCTTAATGAAGATCTGTGGAACCAGCTGCAGCTTTTGGGATGAAGTATTAATGACAATTAAGTTTGGGAAATCTATGGCCCCTGGGGAGGATTACCTTGCCTTGCGGTTACTTTTTCTTTCGAAGGTTCCTAGAATCAATGTCCCCAAGGGGCCAGTCTCTGACCAAGCCTCCTGCGGTAAGTGGTCTAGTCAGTCGGCTTGTTGGACGCGACTGTGATTTGTACAGATTATATTATAAAAGCGTGAATAATCATCATTGAGTTTCTTAACATTAAGCCCAACTTGCTTTTAAAGTAGCCCAAAAAAGTAGCAAGTAGCGAAATTAAAAAGTTGGGAGCGCGGGAGCTCTCAAAAGTAGCCCAATTCGCTACTTGTAGCCCAAGCTGGCAATCCTGCTGTAACTGTGCTCTGTACATCGCCTTCACAGTGCTTGGTATATGGATGAATCAAATCAGCTTCACGTCACGGTACTGCCTACCTTAACCCTTCACCGCCTCTCCATTCCATTCCTGCAAAGGTTTCCATTAAAAAAAGTGCCCAATCAATGTTTTATAGTTATTAAGTAAATATTTAAAACTTAGTTAATTAAACGTAGTTGTTTGTGCCAAATCATTATTTTTCTGCTTTCGAAACTGATACAATCAATACAAAATAATGGAAAATATGATATTACATATCAAATGAACTAAGCACGCACTAGTTCTTCGTGAACTTTATATCTTAATATTTTAAATTTGTAATAAAAATATATATATCATAAAAATGATAACAACATGCGTGCTCTTTCGGTAGGTAAGAACACGCATAAATGTACATATTCGTATTTTAGAGAATTGCGATGGTGTTGCCTACCTCTGAAATTGGCAACTCAGCAACACAAATCCCCGCTTTGCCTTCGTAATGTATCCAGTTATGAGAACTCTCGGTAAATAAGCATAAATAGTTACCGAAATGCCGCAGATCGGACGGGATAAAATTTCAGGCAAGCCAGGGGAAAAAAAAGTAAGAGTAGGGTGGGCCCCCTCCCCCCCCCCTCCCTACTCCACAATGTGTGATTTATACTCCAATCTGGCAACAGTGTGCAGGCCGCCAGCAGCACCCCCTGGCCGCGCGCACCAGGCGAGCCGGGCGGCAGTCTCACCTGAACCGTCGTGGTGTGTGTCCCATCGCTCGTCCGCTCTACACACTGCCACACCACGCACGCTACGGTTAGTACCTTCTCAAGCTGGTAGCATCGTCCTCGGCTGTCGTCTCACACCTCTGCTGCTCTGGGATACCTCAGCCGTTCGCTTGTGTTTGATGTAAAAAAAAAAAAAAAAAACCCAGAGGGACGCTGACGCGAGTGAAGGAACTGTGTGACTAATAACTGAACTATGTACCTCGTGGAAGCCCTCCGCCCGAGTTAACTGGGTATTCTGCTCGGTGACTTGGGGGAATACTTCAAGAAGTGAAATTATCACGAGAAAACGTATTTTGTTGTTGGTTCTCTTTGTGGTAGTGCCAGTGTATTAATATACCCCGCGAACTAAATGTAGATTTAGATGAAATGTAAATATAGATGTGAAGTGTTAGATAAGGTTGGGGGTGATGGTGGGGTGAAGACCGCGGCCGGCGTAGAAGCCGCCGTGGCGTCAGTGCTGGGATGACGCTTGCAGCTCCACGCTCCCCCCCTCCTGTGGCCTTGTACAGTGACGAGTAGCAATGAGTGTGTGCGAGCTTGTCTGGCCACAGTTGCCGCTGTACCCGTGGCTCCCCAGGGACCAGTCCACCACCACCACCAGGCAGCTCCACGCTGCTCTACCACCGCTCCACGACCGCTCTACCTCCCCCTCTCCTGCCGCTTGAAGCTTCGTGGACATGGTGTGGTGCGGCGGGTGTTGCGAGTGGTGATGGCGGCAGTGTGGGGCCGCTGGTGACCCAAGGCAGTTTATTGACGGGGAGGATAAACATGTTCTTGGCCGTGAAATAATAGTATTCATAAGGTATAGGGTGCGTGTGGGACGGAGGCCAGCCATGTGGGGGGGCTGGAGGCGGCCATGTGGGTGCTGGGTGGGGACATTTGTGGGTGTTCCCAACAGAGGGTGCGGGTGACGCCATGCTAGCGTCTCCTCCGCCAGGGCCCCCTCGTCCGGGGCCCCCCGCTCCTCTCGCCAGCATCCTCATCTCGCACACAGCCTCGCATCTTCTGACAAAAATGGATAATCGTGGATGCAATTGCTGGGGAGGAGGGTTTATATTTGTTTACTGCGATTTTGTTGTTTGTAGCAAGTGTACAGTAGGTGAAGCATAGTTTTTGGTGGGAGACGCCGGTCCACCATAATGGATGGTGCATGGCGAGTGGGTGCCTTGGGAGCCAGTGTCATGGGCTGCTTGTTCCTTGCTAAACTCTCACAGTAATATCTATCAGCGGTCTTGACTCTTAACGCTGTCTCCCGTGATATTTCAAGCATCATATTATTATTCTGACAAATTTGGAACATTGCCAGGTCTCTGCGTCTTCTGTATACAAACTACTGCTTGCATAAATTAAAACTTTTTATTTGATATTACGTATGCATGTGTGTGCGGTTGATTTGGCAGAGATTATTCTGTTAGAGTAGAGAAGCGAAGGAAGCCAGTATGATGCTGGTATCGACGTGTTCCCCAGTATTGAAGCGTATATAATAATTCATTGAGAGGCGCGCGCACGTGGAGTGGAGGCGTCGAGGGTCAGGTAGCGCCCCCCCCATCCATCCCCCTCCACCTCCCTCATCCCCTCCTTCCTCCCCATCCCCCCCCCCCTGCAGCATCCTCGTCTGCCGGCACCTCCGCCAACAACCTTGTACTGTATTACCAACTTATTGTTTTTTTTTGTCTAAATAGCTGCAGTTGTAGGCAGGCTTCAAGCGCATAAAGCCGGAGTGTGTACTAAATAAGCACGTAGCTCTTTTGTTGTTGTTGCCTATCTTTACGCTCGTATCGGTAGCCTAAGGATTTTAGTCTGAAATTGCGTGGCTTCCTATGTAAATATTTTATGTATCTGAAATTTTCCCTTTTAGATTAGTTATAGCAGTAAGTTATAGTAGTACGCTAAGCTACAGCCAAGCTTGACATCTCTGCATTAAGACAATTGGAATGTCACCTTGTGCACAGAAGACCATTGGATTACGTTTCTGACCAATGAGAGGAGTGGAGCGACGCAGGTGAGTATCAGTGCCGCCGCTCCCGCTTCTTAGTTACCCAGCACAGTGTAGCCGCTGCTCACCACGCTTTCTCTGCAGGTTTAGTAGGCCTAGCGTAGAGGCCGCCAACCAAGTGTAACGGTCTTCTAGCCTTAGTGTCTTCCCTCTCTAAATCCTGGCTTTCCACCTGGGATAATGGACCACTTGGCACTACTTTCCAGAGGGGCGGCTTACCCTCCTCGAAGCCTGCGCATTCTGGTCATTTATCCGCATGATGTTTGGTCAGTTGGGGTTTTGGCAGGCATTTTTCTTTATAATTTCTTATAGTAAATTTTATAATTAACCAGTAATTTTGTTGGATGCATGATACGGGCGCTTGGTGTACATGTCCTTCTAGTGTGCAGGTCCTTCCTAGCGATAGCGAGCCTTGGCTTATGTGAGCATGTCCCTGCCGCCACGTGCAGATTTCCCGTAGTCCCAAGGATGGTGAGAGTACCCGAGTGTTTTATCACCCTGTTGTAAGGTAAAGGACCTCTTCCCTATAGTGTTCCGCTACTCCTCTGATATATGGATGTGTGAGATGCTGCGATGATCTGTAACAGTTTTCGAGAGTTTGGTTAGTTTGTATTTTTTGTAATATAAATGCAGCGCGTGTTATTCCCGACTGACGAGGTGTTGTAGAATGCAAATGAGGTCCACCTTGCAAGGTGCGGCGAGTACGTGCAAGTGTCTTGGAAGCGGTGCTCTGTAAATTTGCAGTTTCCTGCCATGATTGTGGGTAAAGTGGTGAATATCCGCAGAGAGTCGTGCGAGATGCTATGTGCGTGTATCTACCATGTTAGCGAACAAGTGTGCAGTAAAGATCTTTGTAAAATGTTGATACCATGAATGACTTGTGATATAAGAGTCCACCGTCGGCCCGGGCTGCTGCTGTGAGAGATGGGAATATCAATACAGGCGTGTTTGTCATCCAGGGGGAGGGTTGAAGGTAAAAAAAAAAATTGCTATAGCCTGCGTGTGTCGTGCAGAATGTCTTCGCAAGATAATGTGTCAATTGCGACTATTATTTGCAGTGAAGCATGACCCCCTTGACTGCCATAAAGTGAACATTGCCTCCATTGTCTGGGGTGAAGAGTTTATTCACGTCTTGTTTTACAAAGTTGATCTGTTGACAATCGAGTTGGGGTATAATGTCCCGGTTAATATTATGATGGCTTCATTTAAAAATTTAACCCGATATGTTGGCTCGAATATTTCTCGTATTCAAATATGGTTTTGTGAAGAGTATTTATTTATAAAAATAAAGAGCCTTGGTTAATTATTTGATTAGTCATTTAAGATCTAAAATATAGGGCCTATTGTGCGGTTCGGATTATGTCGCCGGGATTAAAACTTAAGAATAGCATTTACAATCCTGTAAATAACCTGATAACTCATGACCTTGAACCTGCATATTGTGACCTGGGATGTAATTAATCTTATGTAAATAACAAAGTTAGATTTTAGAACCTAATTTCCAGTGTTGGGAGATAAGCCGGAACTCAGGGCAGTGTGTGCGAGTGGCACGAATGACCACATATGTGGTCCTGGTATATAGAAGCCTGTGTGAAATGTGTGTTTGAGACCGACCGACTCGCAATCTCAAATTAGCACATCAAGTGTGACTCTTAGTGTATATTGGTCACACCGTGAGTGACCCCCCCCCCCCTAGTGTACTTGACCCTGTGAGTGTGACATTAGGTGTGCATTGTGTGGTGTACTATATTGATCCTGTGACCCCCCAAATGTGTTATTGTGTACATGATTTCCTAAGTGTCGATTCTGGTGTGAAAGATTTCGTGGGTATTTACGAGGAGCGAGATATAGCTCTTGAGCCCAACCCCATACATACCCTTATTGTACCTGGTGCATGTATTACTTCCCCGGCTGGGCACAGGCCCCCGGGACGCGTTCCCGAGCGGACGGAGACCCCGGCGGACGCAGACCCCGGCGGACGCGTTCTCGGGCGGACGCAGACCTCAGGGACGCGTTCCTCGGCGGACGCAGACCCCCAGGGGACGCGTTCCTCGGCGGACGCAGACCCCCAGGGGTCGCGTTCCTCGGCGGACGCAGACCCCCAGGGGACGCGTTCCTCGGCGGACGCAGACCCCCAGGGGACGCGTTCCTCGGCGGACGCAGACCCCCAGGGGACGCGTTCCTCGGCGGACGCAGACCCCCAGGGGACGCGTTCCTCGGCGGACGCAGACCCCCAGGGGACGCGTTCCTCGGCGGACGCAGACCCCCAGGGGACGCGTTCCCCGGCGGACGCAGACCCCCAGGGGACGCGTTCCCCGGCGGACGCAGACCCCCAGGGGACGCGTTCCCCGGCGGACGCAGACCCCCAGGGGACGCGTTCCCCGGCGGACGCGTTCCCCGGCGGACGCAGACCCCCAGGGGACGCGTTCCCCGGCGGACGCAGACCCCCAGGGGACGCGTTTCCCGGCGGACGCGTTCCCCCGGGCGGACGCAGACCCCCAGGGACGCGTTCCCGGGCGGACGCGTTCCCGGGCGGACGCAGACCTCAGGGACGCGTTCCTCGGCGGACGCAGACCCCGGCAGACGCGTTCCCGGGCGGACGCAGACCCCCTGGAACACGTTCCCCGGCGGACGCAGACCCCCTGGAACACGTTCCCCGGCGGACGCAGACCCCTGAAACGCGTTCCCCGGCGGACGCAGACCCCTGAAACGCGTTCCCCGGCGGACGCAGACCCCTTTCTCCCAGGACGCAGACCTCTCGGTGTGTTACTGTACGTATGCAACGCCCGCAGTATGATCCCAGCTTGCTTAAACCCCATACATGTGACCCCCCTCCCCTTCCCACCCAGTGTGTGTGATTCTGTATATGCCGCCCCTCTTGTATGATTTATATGCCGCCCCCCTGTGTGTGTATGATTGTATGCCGCCCCCCCTGTGTGTGTATGATTGTATGCCGCCCCCCCTGTGTGTGTATGATTGTATGCCGCCCCCGTGTGTATGATTGTATGCCGCCCCCTGTGTGTGATTGTATGCCGCCCCCTGTGTGTGATTGTATGCCGCCCCCTGTGTGTATGATTGTATGCCGCCCCCTGTGTGTATGATTGTATGCCGCCCTCCTGTGTATATGATTGTATGCCGCCCTCCTGTGTATATGATTTTGTGAGACCCTCTCTGGTGTACATGACCCCGTGAGTGTGACCCTCTGGTGTACATGACCCCGTGAGTATGACCCTCTGGTGTACATGACCCCGTGAGTGTGACCCTCTGGTGTACATGACCCCGTGAGTGTGACCCTCTGGTGTACATGACCCCGTGAGTGTGACCCTCTGGTGTACATGACCCCGTGAGTGTGACCCTCTGGTGTACATGACCCCGTGAGTGTGACCCTCTGGTGTACATGACCCCGTGAGTGTGACCCTCTGGTGTACATGACCCTGTGAGTGTGACCCTCTGGTGTACATGACCCTGTGAGTGTGACCCTCTGGTGTACATGACCCTGTGAGTGTGACCCTCTGGTGTACATGACCCTGTGAGTGTGACCCTCTGGTGTACATGACCCTGTGAGTGTGACCCTCTGGTGTACATGACCCTGTGAGTGTGACCCTCTCTGGTGTACATGACCCTGTGAGTGTGACCCTCTCTGGTGTACATGACCCTGTGAGTGTGACCCTCTCTGGTGTACATGACCCTGTGAGTGTGACCCTCTGGTGTACATGACCCTGTGAGTGTCGGTGGTGGTGACTGACGTGTGTCTCCTCCCACAGACCGTGGTGCCCCCACTGTGCCCCGCTGCCCCGCCCGTGCCCGCCCCGCCCGCCCGTGACCCAGCCCAGCCCAGCCCAGCCCAGCCCGCCTGCCCAAGCCCAGCCCAGCCCAGCCCAGCCCGCGCCTACACCAACCACACTCTGAGTCCCGCCCGGAGACAGTCAGTCCCTGGTGTGCCCAATAGTGTCAACACTGGACACCCTCCATCATAGCCCGGCTCCCGCCCTCCCAGATATCGACATGGCTACTACGCCCATTGAGGCCAAGCCCCTCTCCACCACCAATGAAGGACCTTCCGCCTCCCTTTCTATGCGGCTATTGATGCAGGGGAAGGTAGGTTTTCCTCTTTCTCTCCCCCCCTGTCACTCTCTCTCTCCCTTAGTGCCGTTCTGGGCCATCCAGCCGCTGTCACCGACACTGAGGGGAGAAGGGGGGTAGGGGTGGGGAGGGTTCACACTTTTCAAATACTTGACATAAAGTCACCTGGTGTATTCATTGTGTGTTTAGGTACACAGGTCCTTGATAGAGATTATGGTGTGTGAGGGACCCTATCAAAAGTCTTGGACACAGAGGCTAGGGTCGCCATGTAACACCACAGTGTTAGAATAACCTACTTGGCTCAAATACAGCACACGCACGCACGCACGCACGCATATCCTCAGGCACCCATAACTCAAGCCACCTGGGACATGAACGGCGCACACACGTGCAGTCAGACACCATTTTGGCGTACTTACATACTATGCTTTGCTTTCACTTAAAAGGTCACCCATTTGTTTAGAAGTACCCTGAATGCTATCTTACTTACCATGTGTGTGCCTGCCTTATTTGTATGTATTGTATTCTCTCCAAACACTATCTAGTTATATATAATTTATTTATTTTCCTGCGTTATATACAATAGGTGTGTTTGTGTTCCCAATGCAGGGGAGGGGGGGATGCTGTTTGTTAGGTGTTAGCTTAGTTTTTTACGCGCCTTTAAAGGTACACGTTGATAAATGGTAAATATATCTAATCTACTCCATGTTCTGTTGTGAGAACTGCATACTGATAAATATGTGCATAAACACAATACCAACACTATGATTCGACATATAGTTTTACAAGCAATCTCTTCACAACGTGCATAATAGTTTCACTGTAGAGGCCGCCACGCTTTCAAATATTCCAGTAGTCGTGTGTTACTGCAGGTCCTCACACTGTCATGATGGATGTCACTACTCTGACCTGACACGGTGCCATGACAACCTCTCATGCTGTCACCATACTGGCCTACACAGTGCCACGTATGCTGTCATGCCGGGCCTAATCCGACATAGTACTAGGCTGTCGCCATCACTATGCTAACTTGTCACAACACAACTTTTCTGGCAACACTGTTAGACAGCTCTCTGCCGGCGCAGATCCACTCGCTAGCAGGTAACAGAACAGCGATGCACGCTTGTCTGATGCAACACCAACACACACACATTGACGCAAATAATGCACGTACACCTGGCGCTGACTGACCTAATAGTTCCCATTACCCGGCATCAGGCCTAAATCCCAACATAACATAAGCATTCGGTTTTTATTTATCGTCGTAGAGTCATTGTTACAGACGAATAATTACTTTTGTGACACGTGATTAAAGTAACGCATGGCACACACACCACAGGCGGGATGATTATCTCAACATAGGTCAATTCATCACAGTATTTGTCAATTACCTTTTCATAAGACCATTAGTTAACTCCTTATTGTTTTAGTGTTGATAACGGCGGTCATGCATGTCAACTGTTGCTCTGTAGTGTTTAAAACCCTTTGTGTGTTATATTTGCTATAAGAGTTGACGCCCTCCTTGTCCCTCCCTTGACCACTCTGTCCCTCCAACCTTGTGTTGCTCTCGCTCTCTCTGCTGGGGGGTTTCCTCTCCCTTCCGCCTTCCCTCCCTCCTGCTGACCTGTGCACGAGTTTGCAAGCTTGCTGTTGAACTCCTCCAAATGCTTGTTAATCTGATTACCTATTTGACAGGAGCTTCTCAACGTCTTCTGGGAGATGGTTTGTCTTTTTTCACTTTTCCCACAGGATCTTAGCTATACTATGCTTCTGTACAACTTTTATATGTTGACATTTAATACGGCCTTTTTTACTTTTTTTTTATTTTCTGCTGTTGCTTGAGATGGGATACGGTTTTCTTTCAGGTTTCTTTTATTTTTGTGTGTGTGAGAGTTGACACTTTCAGGAGGGGCTGAGGCGATGCGTGACGACAGACGCCTTTAGGTAAGATCTAAGCTGGTGCCTTGGAAGCCTTTAAAGTGGCGTGGTAGGTATAGCACCAAGAGCTGTCGGAGGAAGCAGGAGGGCCGGGTCTGTGGGGCAACGGGGGGCTGTTAGTGGTAGAGAATGATGAACTGAAAGAAGCTAGATGGCGAAAGATTGACTAGAAAGCGGTCTTAAGAGTTCAGGATGTGGAGGGTTTTGCTGTTGCTACTGGGTTGAATTTGCGCGGAAAGCGAGATGGGCAAAAGGAGTGTCGTGGTTTATGGGTCCCGGGATCAGGAGGGAGGCTGGATTAAGGAGAGGGACGCCCGTGACGTTATGACAAGACGCGGTACTTGGGCGCGAGATGGGTGCCCTATGATGGTCACTGCAGGCTGTAAGTGGGGAAAACAGCGGGGCGGCCTTACCCGTAAATTTTAGGCGGTTAAATTAGACCGAAAAGAAAATTGCTTGGGTGCATAAATATATAATCCTGGGGGAAGGGGGTGATAAATACAGAGAGATGCTAGTCGTATGTAGGGGCTTCCGTAGGGGGGATGGAGAGGTGTGCTGACACCAACCAACAACCCCGAACCGTTTCCTTTAGAGCCGCCAATGGTCACGAGGCAATAAGTTGCAATAGCCAGGAGGGTAATGGTGATTAGAAAGGAAAATATAATAGTAGCAACGCTGGTGCGTCTGTCAGTACAAGAGAGTAAGTGACTCCCAACCTCGACCATCAATCATTTCTTGCAGTGAACGTTGTCTACGGCATGTTGGGTGAAGGGTCAGTCTTCCGTGTAAGATCTAATTTATAATTTTCAGGGTTTGCTTTCATTCATGATGGGGTAATGTTGCCGATGCCACTGCAAATGATTAGCCACCGTGATTAAAAATTATCATTTTGTATAGGGTGCTCAGTAATTAACTTATCAATTTGACTGTTTTTATTCTCGGTAGCGTTGTTGTCTGATTGCTTATGGCTCTAAAGTATAGAAAGTAGTTATTATTCCCCTCAAACCTTGCCTTGATATTCAACATAGACAGCTTAGAAGACATCTTGAAGGTACGTGAAGGGTGGCGACTTGTGAAGCATTGTCACAGCTAAGGAGTCGCCAGCTTCAAGACGTCTTCCCCCGAGGCAAAAGTCGAAGCAAAGTTTGGGGGATTTATATCCATATTCTGTACATTGGTGGCCTAAGCAATCAGAAAGTAACTTAGTAATATCGAGAACAAAAACTGTGTTACATTGTATAATTACAATGTAACACATAACACAAGCATTCGGTGTTGAATGCTTGTGTGAAAAAACTGTTACATTGTGTAATTACAATGTAACACAGTTACATAAATGTGTTACAATTGTGTTACATTGTATAATTTAAGAGGATGTATGTACAAATGCCCGGCTGTAGATAGTATGGGAAGGTGTAGAGTTTAATGATGTAATTAAAGGATTTTATACCTGGCACTGTAACGAGGTTATTGGTAACGTTACAACGATAGAGGAAAGCGTTAGTATGTGTACTTAATATGTACGTGTAAACATTATTATGCCCTATAATAACAACAATGGACGTAAAGGATACTCGCCTTGGTCTAACAAACTCTTTGTTTACATTTCCATTCCGTGATATCGCAGATCTACTTCCAATGGCAGTGCTGTATGGTATTAAATTATGATCATTTTACATCTTTGCGGTAATTTATTAGACACCGCCACTCATGGTGTGAGTGGACATACCGCCATAGCTAAATGCGAACGAATCCTCAAAGAAAGAGGTCAAGATTTACCGGCTCAAGTTACGTCATCATGCGTGTGCGAAGTAGATGGATCCTTTAAGAATAGATTCTTGCGTGTGACTGTTTTTGTACAGGGATGAGCTCGGGGACTTGGTCAAGCAGGTGAAGTTCTTGAGATGGTAAACCGATCGGTGTTTCCACTTGTTTAGTTTCTATTTCAATGTATAATCGATGCTACATAGTCTTCCCGGCTTTGGCGCCTTCTTTTGATACTCGCTTAACTTCCTTCTAAAAGTTAATACAGAAGTCTTGTTTTTTCCTTGGCGATATCATTGGAGTGAGGATCTCTGGCCATGTTAGTAGCAAGTCTGAGATCCAGTTTCTTATTTCTGTTTCTAACTGGGATGACTTTGCTCTTGTCCAAGATTCAGAGTACTGTATATGTATAAGACTGATATAGTGTATTCTCGTTCTTCTTTCCCTTGCTAGAACGGACAGAAACCCCAAGGCATCGATAGTGGTCAACCCTTTCGATAATTTCACCATTTAATGTGCATGCATATTTGTTTTGGCTGCTGCAGTTAATAATTTGTATGGTGGTGTGGTTGGTAAACTAAGGTATGGTATTCGGGGAGAATTGATGTGACGGGTGTGTTATAGCCGTCAGGAAGGAGTGTCTGTTAGATTGATTTGGTAGAATGGGGGAATCGCCAGAAGAAAACAAATGAAGATAGGATGGCAGAAAGGTGCCGAAGCGAAGACAGTGGAGGAATAAGATGCAAGTTTATGGAGGGATATGAAGGAGAGCGGGAGTCGATAAGCCCGAGTGTATATGGGGGGGGGGAGGTATAGATGGGGGGGAGTGTTTGAGTGGGTAGCCATGTAGGAGAGGCGGTGTGGAGGACAGGCAGTGTGGAGGTGAATGGAGGGGAGGTAGAGGAGGAATGACTTTGTATAGCTGTATGTTGAGGGGGGGGGGGGGTGTATACATATGTTTAGAAGAAGGTGGAGTGTAACTGAATGAAGTGAGAGGGAATGTGGTGTGTATGAAGAGGCGGCGATGGATGGACGAGAGGGATAATATACACACACCACACCTCCATACACCTGTGAATGTATGGAAAAGTGTATGTATCTGTGAATATATGGAGAGGAGACGATGGAGGAGAGGGGGGGGGGGGGAGAGTGTATAGCTGTGAGTGTTATTGATTCCTGGGGGGGGTGACTCGCCTGGCTAGAGCATCACTGATCTGCGTCCTCTCCCGCACCTCCCTGATGCTGGCCAGCAGCCTCCTGCCCCCCCCCCCCCACACACACACACACACACACACACACACACACACACACAC